TGTGTCATTGCTTGGAGGGATCAAACATTTGTGAGATTTCCAACTACACAGTTGTGATCTTGAATTGTACAAATAATCAAAAGCCCTTGAAGATCCTAGAATTTTAGTTGGAGAGACAGTGTGGATGCAATTACCTTTTAGATATGATTTTGAAACCTTGATCATTTAAAGCTTAATAGATATTAACATTTACACTATCAAGTAATTGAATCTTAAATTGATTTTCTTTTTCTATAGTAAACTTTATACTTGTTACTTTTTAATACATTAATTTTGATGATATGTTTTCGAAGAGTCTCACTTTTTTATTTCAAGTCATATTTCAAATTGGTTTGGATCGATCTTGTAAATATATTATAAAATAGTAATGGCATGCCTCCATTTTATATTAACTTATATTTTTTTAATGCAAGAAACTATTTAAAAACTAAAAATCCAAGCCTAGCAAGTCACTAGACAAGGAACATTACAACAGGGAGATACAAAGAGTTTTAATAGGGATATGGGGAGAAGTACACCAAACATACTAGGGGATATGGACATATTTACCCCAAAATTTTCTCCACACATACACTAGAGAAATACTATCCATAATGCTTGAAATTGAAAAGCATCTCCTGTTAAATATTAGATCGTTTCTCGCCTTCCAAATGCTCCAAATTGAACCTTTGCAAATGTCTTGAAAAAACTTTTTTTTTGGGCCACGACCCCATTTAGAAGCGAAATCAAGAAGATCTGCTACTGTATGCATATGTTGAATAGGGACTCCACACCAATTAAAATTTTGATCTTGTATCTTTGCAACAACCGGACACGTAACGCTGAGATGGTTTAATGTTTCAACACCGCCAATACAAATACGAAAAGAAGAAGAAGGTGTACTGGCACTGCGCTCTTGAAGTGCAACCATAGTCGGAATACGGTCGATACAAACTCTCCACTCCATACAGGAAACTTAAGCGGCATAATCTTCAACCATTTGATATTAACACTACCAAGTATAGTTAGTTTTTTTTATCATTTCCAATACGTAGGCATTCGACCGTGTATTTCCAATCAGATTGCAAGAGACAACAACATTCATGTGTTCTATTGTGAAGAGTAAGGTTTCCAATGATATTATTGATTTGATTAAGCTCCATAACTTCTATATTACTGCTTGGGGGACGTTTCCAAGACCAACATATTCCAACCTCGACGACAAGATTTGCAACAGAGCACATTTTTCTTCTCTCTAGAGAGTATAAATTAGGAAAAGACTCCTAAAATATACCAGCTCTCGACCAGTCATCTTTCCAAAAAAGTTTGTCATCTCGAGTACCTACAACAAATGAGAAAAATTCTTTTGGTTCAATACCAAAGGACATAAGATCAGTGACAACTTTGGCAATGTTATTCCAAACACCCTGGTTTAAATATTTTGTCAGGCAAAGCTTCAGTTTCGTAATTAGATTATGGACACCACGGATAAATTCACACCACAAAGCATTGTTTTTAGTTTTTATTCCCCACCACCATTTGACTAAGAGAGCAATGTTTAAGGCACATAAACTACCAATACCCAAACCTCTGTCCTTCTTTGAGGCGAGCAATTTGGGCCAAGACACCCAATTTTATTTTTGCTTTGTCTACATTACCACCCTATAGGAAAGTTCTTCTCGGCTTTTCAAGGGATTCGAGGATACAAATTGGAGCTTTAAAAAGATAAAAATAGTAAATTGGTAAACTTTCGAGCACCGACTTATCGAGGGTTAGCCGACCGGCAAATGATAAAGACTTGGCTTTCCATTTGATAGTTTAGATTGGAATTGGCCAAGTATTGGTTTCCAAATCTTCTTGAGAGCCATGTTGGCTCCAACCGGAACACCTAAGTATGTGAATGGGAGGGACATAGGTTCACATACAAGTAGTTGCACCCACCTTGAAATTTCTCTGTTGGAAGACCCAATATCAAACACTTTTGATTTATTGAAGTTTACTTTTAAGTCAGAATAGACATTAAAACAACGAAGAATACGTGCAAGGTTCTGTAAGTTTCCTCTTGACCACCCCACAAAAATAACGTCATCAACGTAGAAAATGTGATACCTCGGTTTTGGAATTTGGAATTTTTACGCCTTCAAAGATTGATTTGTTGCAAGCTACTTTCATTGCCACGTTTAACCCCTCCATATCAATGACGAAGATAAATGGTGACAGAGGATCGCGTTGACGGACCCCTTTTGATAAAGGGAACTCCTTAGTTGGTGAACCATTGATTAGAACCGAGACCCGACTCGAAGATAAACAACCTCTTATCCATTTTCACCCATTTATAGTCGAAACCCATTCGAGCCATTATAGAGTCTAAGTACTCCCGATTAAGAGAGCCGAAATGTACTTTAACTAAGAAGATCTCTTGTTTTGTTTTTTTCGCCGACACACATATCTCTTTGATTATTAAAGGAATTTCTAATATGTTTCTCTGCGATACAAATGCAGATTGGACTTCATCCACCACCTTACCAATTACGAGTTTATCCTATTTGCAAAGATTAAATATATTGATATTAATGTGTATTAACTTACATTTGATTTAATTTTGTTAAATACGATAATTAATATAGTTATACCTTCATCCGATGTAGGAGAATATTTAATTTTTCATTTAGTATAACATACTCTTTCTTTTTTTGGAACCAACAAATTTTATTAAGAAGAGAAAATAAGAAAAAGAGTCTTGCGTGGCAAACAACTAGGGAGGTAAAATGAAAAGAAAACCAAACGAATCATAAGACATCACTACGATATACAAAGACAAAACACTCCTATTACGATTGCCACACGAGTGGATTAATACACCAATCTATCCATTTATATGCTTCTTTAGTACTCTTGTTTTTTAAACAAATGAACACCATTGACTTAACTATGTCGTCAACCTTTGTTGGTGTAATCCAAATTTGATTGAAAGTTCTATCGTTCCTTGCTTTCCACAGACTCCAAGTCGTCCTGTAGCAAATACCCACCAAGACCTTTTTCTTTTTTGGGCAATTTCCACGTATCGCTGCAAACTCTAGCACATCACTTGTCTTATCAAAAAGAGGAATCGATATACCTCACCATCTAAAAATCCATTCTCAAATATCTTTGGCAAAAAGAGCACACGAATAAACAGATGATCAGAAGACTCATCGACTAAATTGCATTCCCTACAAGTAACATAACTCGATATTTGATTTCTTCCAAATCACATTTTTGGTGAATTCAAAATATTGAAACTCCTACATTAATTAATCTAAACCTAAATACTGAAGCACATTAATATCAATAAGCTTTAATCGTCTTTTTTAGATTTATTTAACGTTTCATATTGAATAATTAATACTACATTTTAAATTACGTAACTTATGTCGATTTGTGTTGTAGGTATCAAATTCTCTAAAAATCACAAACAATAAATCAGACTTCACTTTTGTTTCAGGAAACGATTTATCAATAATCTGTAACTTATCGATTAGGCCTTGGACCCTCTTTTAATGATAAATCAGTAATAACATATAATAATAAAATTTATAAACATTGGCGGACTTTAGTGGAAACTTGTGCAACCCCTTAACTTTTTTGGCGCATTGAAAACTTTTTGAATTTTTTTTGGTATAATGTAATTTTTCCGATCTGATATCCTAAAATCAGGTGTGATACCCTTGATATTTTGTTCTAGATCTATCATTGTCTACAAATATACTAATTAAATAGAATATGTAATAATACCAACTACCAAATATGTGTTCCAATACCATTTAATATATTACCATTACCGAAAATAGCTATACGATTTGAATGTCATAAAGATTAAGATCATTACATGTTTTTTATTATCTATATTTTGTTTGACTCAACATTTGATTTTACTTAGAATAGTGAGATACACACTCTTTAATCTATTCATAAAGCCATTTGGTATTTGATTTCTTCTAATTCACATTTTCATGAATTTCTATTTCGTGCTAAATTTCCTACGTCAATTAATTTAACCAACTTGGTAAAACACATTAATATCAATATATTTAATCTTGTATTCTCATACTTTGTTAATATCTTTTATTAACAAATATATATATATATATATATATATATATATTATATATATATATAATTTTTCCATTAGTTTAGTTATCATCGTACAACGAGTGAGATGACTAACGGACAACAAGCAAAAGGGACGTGAGGATAATCGAACATCAAACATTCTGTTTAATTAAACAAAACCAAAAAACCTACATATATATCAGCAACACCTTATAAAAAATATAAATATTAAATAAATAATTGAATAAGAGCTATTATCTTTTCAAATAGACATATAAATATGTTTGAGCTACTATCTTTTCAAAGACTTTTATTTTTGGGATAACTATAAAGAGTCTATCAAAGTTTGCAAATTTGGAACATATCATGATTCAGTTATTAAATGTTATATTTATATATTATATATTTTGAATGAATTTTAATATAAAATTTCTTAAATGAAAGGTACTGCTGTTTTTTTTTTTTTTTACAAAATCTTATAACTTAACTTAAATTTATTATGTTATTATAAAAATAAAAAGTTTTACACTATACTAAAGGTTATATATATATATATATATATATATATATATATATATATATATATTATATATATTAATGTTTAACCAACTATTAAACTTGAGTTTAGATATTTTTTTGTAAATTTTTTAAATAGTTTTTATATATATAATTAAATGAATTTAAACAAGCAAATATTTTTATTTCGATAGATACCAAGTATGAAAATGAGTCGGAAGAAACAATTATCATTTTCTAATTTCTATTACTACTTTTCCATGTAAAGACACGTAGTTTCATGCAATTGCAGGCTGAAGTCTTTTTTATTATGAATCGTTTGTTTCTGCATTTATAGCCACGCAGCAGCGGTTGCCGTTTCCAGCAAATATAACGTGGTGTTCATCCATTAAACTCGATCAAAAACACCAAAACGAAACTTCCCGGAACCTTCTCCTTCTCAACCCTACAAATCTCACCACATTACTGCATTTTGAGCACAGTCGTACAAGTGTGTGTTACTGTGTGTAAAATCGATGTCGATGAGTTCCTCGGTGAATTACGACTTGGAGAACGGAGAGATTGTGAAATCAAGTCCGGTTGCCAAGTCCTTGTTACGAACGAGATCTCAGACCGATGTTCTATCGAGTGTTCGGTTTCGGATTTTGAGGAATTTTCTCGCGAATGTTCGAATAGTCATTTTAGGAACCAAACTCTTCTTGCTCTTTCCTGCCATCCCGATGGCGTTTGTAGCTCATTATTACAGTTTCCGTCGAGTAAGTGACGCATGTTCATCATTTTATGTGTGTTTGATACAATATCTGATTCTGATTGTATCTAATTTGGTTTTTGCAGCCATGGGTGTTTGCGTTGAGTTTGATTGGGCTAACTCCACTTGCAGAACGTCTGAGTTTTCTAACAGAGTAATTTTCACAATTACATTCTAAATTGCTAATCTATTTGTTCATAAACTCTCTGACTTTCGTTTTCGTTTTCGTTTCTGAATTCCGTGTTGGTGAAATTCATCTCCAAAGGCAAATTGCGTACTTCACAGGCCCTACAGGTAAACTTCTAATCCCTTCGATCATCCATTTGACAAAATAAATCAATAATCATCAGAATCGGAAATTAAACTCTATCAGTCATCGAACATTAAAATTACTTATCAAAGTCTATTCGATTGAAAAATTAATTGAAAAATTAAGCTTTTTCCGACTGAAGTCCACTGAGTTCACACTTGTCCACCGAATAATATTGGAAAAAGCTTACATTTATAGGATTTTAAAATTTCACTGTTTTGTTCTTTCACTGGGATTAGTGTATGCTTTCTTTTTTATATTTATAAAAGCTGCAACCTCTTTTGGAACATTCTTTCAAATTTTAAAATTATATGTTTATCCACAGTTCCACATCCTCGTGTCAAACATACAGAACAAGTGTCCTGATTTTGATCACTTTTAATTTCAGTCTTGTATCTTTCACAGTTTATATAAAGATTACTTTTAATTTCAGTCTTGTATCTTTCACTTTTTATATAATTTGTAGATTTGAAAAAGCTGATCTTAACAATTGATATAAAGATCCCTTTTGACAAATATAAACGATTTCTTTTTTTAATTTTAAATAATATCTCACATACACATATTTTTTTAAGGAGAGAATTTTATTAAATTTTAATACTAGGGAGAGCAAATCAAACTGATTACAAGCTACATCTTCTGTAGAGGTGTGTATCGGAAAGTGTATCAGAAGATGCACTTTCCAAAGATAGTGAAAATATCAAAGATGTTTTTTTCTAAATTCTAAATCCTAAACTCTAAACAAGAAAGTCAAAGATAAGAAATGGTTCGGGTTTTGGATCGAACCAAATCAAGAAAAATATATTTTAAAAAACTCATGATCCGTATTAAAAATCAATGATAAAATTATCTTGAACCGAGAACCAAATCAGGAATATCTGGTTTTGGTTTCAATTATTCAGTTTTATCTGACCCGACCGATTTTTACATACTTCTAAATTCTAATGTTATATTTGGTCATTACCATTTTTGGATTAAATAAAAAAGCCTTCCTAATATGTCATAGTTTTTGACACTTTATATCTGTCCTATGCAAGGCTGCAAGATGTCCCTAACAATCATAAATTGTGGTCCCTAAATAGAACACCAAATTTATTTTGTTCCAAGTGCACAGTATCATATAGTCAAAACAATAAATACACCTTTTTATAAAACTAAATGCAACAATCTCGTATTTTTCCAAAATAAATGCAATTTCTGACAAAATCACAATCTAAATTTACCTTCTCCTATTATGCTTGTTTGTCTCGGAAAAAAAAAAAACTTCTATACGATGTGACACGTAGAAAAAAAATTACTGTATTAGTTACTTAATCAAATATCTAAAATTATAATTGTTTACAGTTGGAGGACTCGTGAACGCAACATGTGGGAATGCAACCGAGTTAATAATAGCAATGTTTGCGCTACATCAAAGGAAAATTCATGTCCTAAAATACTCTCTTTTGGGCTCCATCATCTCAAACCTCCTCCTTGTTCTTGGATCCTCTCTCTTATGTGGTGGCATAGCCAATCTCAATAAAGAACAAAAATTTGACCATGTAAATATTCAACACCCTAAATTGCATTTCCCGTTATGAAATTCCAAATCTCATTTTAAAAAATAAAAAATATTCTTTTTCTTTTTGTATTTGCCGACCAATAGAAGCAGGCAGACGCGAACTCGTTGCTACTTTTGCTCGGATTACTTTGCCAAATCTTGCCATTGCTCTTCAATTTCCATAACATGAATGTGCCCAAATTACAAGACATTGCGGTTCTTAATTTGTCAAGGGCAAGTAGCATTGTGATGTTGATTGCTTACATGGCATATCTCATATTCCAATTGAAAACCCACACCCAACTTTTTGAATCACAAGAGGTTTGTTAAGTTGATGTTCTTGTTGACTTTTGAGGTCAAATTAAATATTTATTTATATATATATACTTTTTGAAATTAATTAGGAAGAAGGTGTCGATATTAATGAAGATCTTGATAAGGAGACTGCATTGATAGGTTTTTGGAGTGCATTCATATGGTTATGCGCCATGACAATAACCATATCAATCTTGTCCGAGTACATTGTGGGAACAATTGAGGTACAATACTTCAAGTTTTTCAGCTCTCACAGTGTGAGAATTTCAGTTCCAATGCGAATTGAGCATCTTGACATTGTGGACCAGCTCAGGGGTTGCAGAAACAGCTGAATCCAACACTAACTAAATGTATTAATACTTTTTGAATCAGGCTGCATCGGAGACTTGGGGAATTTCCGTAAGCTTTATAAGCATAATTTTGCTACCAATTGTCGGTAATGCAGCAGAGCATGCGGGATCTATTATATTTGCCTTCAAAAACAAATTGGTAAGATATTAAGATATATAGACAAATCAGATTGTGTCTAGCTGATATGTGAAACACTAACATTGTCTACAAATTTGTGACAGGACATATCTTTGGGTGTTGCTATGGGTTCCGCAACTCAAATCTCCATGTTTGTGGTGAGATTTTCCCCGAAAATATAAGTGAATGGTTAAAATGTAAAATAAATCAATTTTTTAATGCATGTAAACGTGTTAAACATTTTATATATGGAATTGGATTAGGTTCCTTTATGTGTGATCATTGCTTGGATAATGGGGATACCAATGAGTCTTGATTTTGGATTACTTGAAACCGGTTGCCTTGCCTTCTCAATTCTCCTTACAGCCTTAGCTTTACAGGTTTGACACTTAGCCCCTTTCTCTTTACATTTATATCCAATTCTCGAATTATCTTTCTTGGTAACCATTTGACTCTAATATAATTTAACCAATAAAAGAATATGATTTAATTTGATTAAATTAAATGCAGGATGGAAGTTCACACTACTTGAAAGGAGTGACCCTTACTCTTGCCTATATAGTGATTGGGGCATGCTTCTTTGTGCAACATGTTCCCTTTGGTAACGACTTGATTACATTCATTTTTTATATTATTTAAAAACCACATTATCAATATAAATAATTTATTAATTTATTTTTCTTGGTTTGTTTGTTACTTGGTGTACAGATGAATCAAATAACAACAACTTGGCACCGGTTGGAAATGCTGTAATTTGACCGGTTACCTCTAAATTATCTGAATCCGGTTTTGGTTCCTCGTGATCCGAACAGGTGATGTATCAATATCAAGTAATTAAATGTTGGGCTGGGCCTTAGAGAATTGACAAAATGAAATACCCAACTTTTAGGCTCATTTTTGGTGTTTTATTTATGTATTTTCTTTATTTCATGGGTTTACAATTGTAAATGGTAGTCTCTTTTTCGTAGTTTAGCACATGTTGCTTTGTTAGTCTTTTTTTTTTTTTTTTTTTTTTTTTTTTTTTTTGGACATTTATATGGATTTGAATAATGTCTACTAATACAACAAACTAATATGTAATTTCAGCCTTTGGATGTTTCATTATAATTTTGGGCTTGTGGTGTTATAAACTTACAATCTCTGTGACATGTATATACTATATACACAGAAATTATTAACCTTATTCATGAACAATACAATCTTTACAACCAAGATTTATTCACTTGGATTAACTTTTAGTTTCTTGAAAGCTTTTTAGTAATTTCCGATACATATTTACCCTGATAAAACGCTTGTTGGAGCTCTAATTCACTCGGCTTTCTCGTCCCATCACCCGCATAAGTTCCCGCACCATAAGACGATCCACCTTTAACTTCATCAATTTCAAACATTCCACTCCCAAATGTGTATCCAAGCGGCACATATAACATCCCATGATGCGCTAATTGTGTTATCGCCGTTAACCTACATCCAAGTAAACACCATCAGTATCAGCAACAACAACAGCTGACAGTGTGACAGTTTCAATGTAGACTGGCCCCACTAGGTCAGACAGCTCAGAGGTTGATGGAAAAATAACTGTTTTGCAGACTGCAAAAATGAAATGTGTTATCTTACGCTGTGAGTTCTTGGCCGCCGCCATGGAAACCGGTGCTCCAAAAGATTCCGGCGGGTTTTCCGGCAAGTGCTTGGGTTTCAAAGAGATCGTTAGTGGAATCAAAGAAAGCTTTACATTGGGCTGCCATTACACCAAAACGAGAAGGAAACCCGAATAGGAATCCATCAGCTTCTGTAAGTTGTTCTGGTTTAATCACTGGCACGTCATCTGCTTTAGGAGGAGCCTTCATCTTTTCTAATACCAAACTTGGAAGTGTTTCAGGTACCTAAACAACATATCATGTTACAAATAAAATCAATATTTTATTTTGTATTGATTTGTAAACAATATAAACCTGCCAAAGTGTTGCTTCGATTCCCTCGATTGAATTTGCTCCTCTTTGTATCTCTCTAGCCATGTACTCAACATGTTTATGCAGGGAGTAATAACTGGAACAAAATTAACAAAATTCAAGTTGATCAACACATAAAGCAAGAACCTTGAAATAAAACACTCTATGTATTGTGTATGAATCATAATTTAAGAAAGGGTAAAAACTAAAAATTTACTCACATTATATAGACCTTGGTGATCGCCATAGTTGCATCTGAAGGAATAAAAACAGATGAACAGCAATAAACTTTAGTAACAAGTGCTGTTAATAAATCCGTGTTGACAAATTTCCAAAAAAACCCAAATCAATTTTGAAAATATATTTATGGGTTTGATCTTAAAAAAGAAAAGTACGAGTATATAAAATTAAAGACGATGAAAGTACTGATTTCTTTAAATATAAGCTAGATTTTGAATTATAGTGAAGGCAACTGGACATCTAGGGATTAAAAGAACATTATACAGAAGAATCATTGCTTGAGGCATTTCATCGAATAGTTGGAGTGCAGAGTAATAAATATGAAGGAGAAGAAAAACTTACAGATGAAGAAGGATTAAAGAAAGTGCAACTTGAGAAGAAAAGGAAGGTGATCATAAGAGAAGGTGACATGAGGTTCGTATGTATCGATAAGTTCATATTATCCAACACATCACATATGGTCCATATTCCATTACCCTTGATTTTATATGTATTAAATTATTCATTAAAAGGACCATATTAAGAGACCAATATACCAATATAACAATATTGCCACTTTTTTATTTTTCTTTTATCGCAGACCACATTTTTATTTTTCTTTTATCGCAGATTGAATGCCTAAATCCGCAAAAAGGTCATTGAATTTTGAGGTTACTTTTTCTAAAATGAAAAGAGACTTATAATAAATAAATAAATAAGTTCACGAATTCAACGTTTTTCTTATTTAAATTTTCAGAAATTTAATTAGACTTAGGTCACTGTAAACATTGAGTAATTATTTTTTGAACGGCAAGCAGAAATATATTATCCAAAAATGAGCTCAACCTAAGTACAACAAATGTTTGAAATAGAAGACATACACCAACTAAACCAATCAACATAATTTAATTTGGCTCGATGTTTGATCCAACCAAAAGTGCAAATGCTAATGTTATCAGCTATAAGCATCATTGCTCGCCTATTGTTTCGGAAAACAATTTCGTTTCTCTCCTTCCATGTCATCCACAAAGTTGAATACACAAGAGGCAACTTCAACTTAAGCTTTTTCTTGTTTCCAAAATTCAAGCGTGTCATATCCCTTAAATCACTGCAAGAAGAGGGATGGTGATGAAGAATTGAGGACCAACCCACCAACCAATCCCAAAGCTTTGAAGCAACCTGACACGAAAAGAAAGTTCGATCTATGTCTTCATCCCGAACCACGTAAAAAGGGCACAGAGAAGACGAGATAGCAACTCCATGCCTGAGCAAATTAGAAAAAAATAGGAATTCTGTTTTGCAACAATCTCCAAATGAAGCAATTTATCTTTAGGCCATGGGGAGTGGTCATACTCAACCCACCAAAAAAGTGATGTCACCTGAGCTCCACTACAAACTCACTACCAAACCACTAACCTTTGGAAATAGTTACCACTAGCCCTTTGAAAATTAAATTAATTTTTTTTGGTTTGCAATGGATTAAAAAGGAACGGCTTCCTTCCCATTCTTCCATTGAAAGCCTACTTCCTTCCCCTTGGATGTCTTCATGCGTCTTCACCACCACTGAAACCCACTCCACACCCAACCCACCGGGGCGGTGTTCACCGGTGGGTTGGTGTGCCACATAGGAAACCCACGCGTTAAATGTTTCCCATACCGGATAGCCTTAAGGGTATCCAATTAACCCAACAAAACTTGTTATCATCAGTCATTACTCCCACCCAGATCTTCAATGAGCATTTTAAAACCTTTCATTGGGAATTTACCATCACAATCACCACGCCAGTCACCTTCATTATTAAATTGAAAATCATTCACTTTACTCATCAGCACCGATACTTGATTTACTTCTCTACCTCTTCTAATATTCCTCGACTACTCTCGCTGCCATCTAGAATCACAATCAGCATTCGTACATCTTTTTTCTATAATCAAGTAATTTTTATTTCTATTTAAAAGCATACAGATTAGAACACAACTCTTTTAAGGTCACACCACCACACCAAGCATCTTTCCAAAAAATGTTTTGTCCCCCATACCCACAACCCTTTAAAATAAAGCAGAAATGGAAATATCTATTTTGCCAAGATCCATCTCAATTTGAGCTATACTTGGCATCACCCCTTTTATCGATTGTTTAGCCACCGGGTCTCCGTCAATTAATTTTATATTATGAATGGACTTAATACAAGAGAACAAGAAAGAATTTTGCTCAACTTTTAACCTCCACCACTATTTGCTAAGTAGAGCCAAATTTGCCGAATTCAGACACCCAACCCCAAGACCTCCATTTTCTTTGGATTTTATGACCACATCCCAAGTAACCCAATTTATTTTCTTTTTATCCTCATCATCACCTCCACAAATAACTTCCTTCTAATACCCTCAAACATGTTAATCACATTCTTTGGAGCCTGAAAAAATAGAAAAATAAAAGACCGAAAGGTTGTTAAGAACCGACTTAACAATCATAAGCCTACCACCAAAAGACAAAGATCTCGTTTTGCACATAGATAATTTGGATTTAAATTTCTCAACCACTGGAGACCAATTTTTAGCAAGTTTCATATTGGCACCAACCGGGATACCAAGGTATGAAAATGGGACGAAGTGGGCTCACAACAAAGAATACTAGCAAGATTTTCCACCTAAAACTATCTACACCCACACCATACACCTTGATTTTATGCATATTAACTTTTAGACCCGAGGGAAGGAAGAAGCAACGAAGCAAACGGTTAAGATTGATAAAGTTATCTCTCGACCATTCACCAATAAAAGTGACATCATTAGCATACATGATATTAGAGATAAAAAATACCATTATACGGAAGAGAAAGCCCTCGAAAATAGTGAAGATCACATGCCGCCTCCATAGAAACATGTAGACCTTTCATGACGATAATGAAAAGAAACGGAGACAAAGGGTCTCCTTGCCTAACACCACTTTTAATATCAAATTCTTTAGTAAGAGATATGTTAATCAAAACAAAGGCTCTACTAGATGAAAGACATCCCTTTATCCATCTCCTCAATTTCATTAAAACTCCATTTGATCCATGACCGAATCTAAAAATTCTCAACTCACTAAGGCTTTGTCAGATTCTACTTTAAAAATTAAAGTCTTTTTCTTTACCTTCTTGGACCAAGAAACAATTTCATTAAGTAAGAGTGGGCCATCCAAGATACTCCGACCTCCAACATTGACCACTTACTCCGAGCTAATAATTTTATCCATAACTTTTTTGAGACCGTTGGCTAGAACTTTAGAGAGCACTTTATAAAGACAACCCACCAGATTCACCGGCCTATAATCATTCAAAGTAAGAGGATCTCTAATTTTCGAAATCAAGGATATAAATGAAAAGTTGCATCCTCTAGCCAACATACTGAACCTTCAAAATCCTTTTATAAACATAATATGTTATTTTTAATAAACTCCCAAGATTTCTTCAAAAACTTGAAAGTAAATCCGTCCGGACCAAACGCCTTATCATTCCTATAACACCACACTGTCTCTTTAATTTCAACCTTAGAGAATGACCCCGTGAGGGTAGCCCTATCTCCAGTTGGTAATCTTTTAAATTTGTTACTAATCAGTTTGGGACTGTTATTGATCGGTTCGTCAAAATTGGAAGAAAAGAAATTCCAAGTTTCATTCCTGATACTAGACGACTCATCAACCCAAATGCCATTAATAATCAGTCCATTAATAAGTTTTTTTCTTTTATTGTTATTTACCCATAGTCACATAAATCGCTTGACTAGAGACGATCCTCGTTCCAGTTCGTGCGTGCTGG